CCTTCTCTTCCCCTCCCCATCCACTCTTTTTCTGCTGTTTATTTGTACCTCTGGATTCCTTGCTCCATTCATCTGAAGAAGTGGGTTGTGCCCACAAAATCTACATTTTTTGTTAGTCTTTAAGGTGCTGTAGGATCATTCATTGTTTTTTAAGTTGTTCCAATGACAGCGATAGAGATGGTGGCTATTTTGGGGAGTTCTTTGTCACAGATAAACTTTCAGTTATGAGAACTAATGGCACAAAATGTGTCCATTGCACCAGGTCAACTAAACAAGTACACTAGGAAGGTGAAAAAACTAGATGTACATGTGTGTGCATGCAGGGAATGTAGAGAAGTAAAGGAAACTGGTGTGTGCGCAGAGGAACATGGAAAAGGCAGTGATCATCTGAAAGCTAAAAGGGCAGGGAAAACTGAAGCTGTTTTGTTCAGCTCCAATGAAACAAAGCAGCTGTACAGGCAGGTTAAATGACCCGTATTCTCTGGCTGTTTTGTACTATTTCCAAGTCAGGTAAAGCAGCCAGAGAGTAGCAAAGAATCTGATCTTCCAAAAGTTAGAACTAAATAATATATCTAAGCTGGATACTATATATATTTAAATCACCCGGATACATTCTCTTTGAATTTCTTGCTTAGTGTGGTTCATATATGAAAATGTTCATCAAAAAACTTGAGGAAATTCCTAGACAAAAACTATGCTGAGAGTAAATCTAGGGTAAATGTTTATACCATAGATTAATGCTAAATTATAGGGAGGTTATAAACATTTCAAAACTAAGCATTATAAACCCAGGAAATTAACAGTTTAAATGCAAAAGAAATCCAGACGTGAAGATATAGAAATGCACATGTAGAACACCTGAACAACCTTACCTGTGTCCTGCCACAGAGCCTTCAAACTTTCCATCTAGTTAGAACTCCCTGAAAGCTTGTGCATAAGCTATAATTTAAATCTGCCCTGAAGTGATGCCCTCAACTCAGCTTCCCTTCAGCCTACACAGATTCCTAATTCCACTTCTCCTGCCAGATATCCCTGAGGCTATAAAATAAATATAGCTGTACACAATATACAAAAAATCGATAACAGGGCCAAATCCTCATGTCGTATAATTCACATTGCTCCACTGGTTTCCATGGATCTATGAAGATTTACAGGAGCTGGATTTGGCCTCCGATATGTAAAAATGAAAGAAGAATTACTGAGATCTTCATATACCTATTGGCTCCCACTCTTTAGACATGGTGTTGCCTGCAGTACCGATGACCTCATGCTCCTCATCAGCGTACACTAATTCCTGTAGCACTGCCTCCACAATTGGCATCACCATGGCTGTGGTGGAGGTATTGGAAAGCCACATGGATAAAACGGTTGTACAGCACATAAAGCAGAGAAGTAACCTAGAATACAAGATAGAACAGCCCTCTGGGGGCACTTTTACAACTTTTTCATGCCCCCCCTTGTCCAATATTTTAATTAATTAATTCGTATTTATTTATTATTTCTCCTCTTTACTTGCAAATATATTATATTGCCTCAAGTTGAAATTCACCCCAATACAGTGGACCAGCACAATACATCATTTCAGCCCCATCTATGCCCTGATTACAAATTCATAACAAGGTGAAGACAGGAAATTCTGCATTTCATCATGAGTACTTTGTACACATCAAATAACAGTCAAGGAGGGAACAAACAGAAGAGCCCAAGGAAATGTGAGAGCACAATGAACAGAGAGAATTGGATGAAGGGATAAAAGACAAAAAAAAAAAAAAAGAGTCAGATAGACGGGGGGCAGAAAAATTCATAAATTTTATGGACATGAAAAGATCATCAAAGATTGACTTAAGACACCAGATTGGAAAAGTACAATGCATTACAGGAACTGACACCATATGTTTTTGAAAAGCATACTGGGCTAGATTTAATTAATATTTGCTCATTTATTTTTAAACATGATGCTAGTACCTTTTAATGTTTTAAACTATTATAAAGGATTCACTCACATGCCTGGCTTTGCTCCAGCCATCATGACCATACGCAAAGCAATCCGCTTGTGTAGGTTCCACTTTTCAACAGAAGCTGCCACACAAATCACCCCCATGAGGAGCAAAGTTGTGTTCTTGAAATACTCTGCAGCCACCTGCAGGAAAGCAAGTTGGAGATAAGCAATCACAGAATGAAAAGTGGAAGAAATGGAAACCCTCTGATTCAAAATACCACAACTTAATTCCTTTTCCTCTGGTGTTGATAAATTAAAATGTATCATGCAACCTGTCAGCTAGGTTTCTCAGTTTTGGAGAGGCAAAGAGAAGTTGAGAGAGGTCATGTGATTTTCTGTTAGTTTATAAAAGTTTTACTTTGTAATGTGTTAAATGTTTAGATTAAGCCCAAACTGACACATCTTCTGTGGACTCCCACCTGCCAAAACTTCCGAAGTGCTCTTTCAACCTGGGATTCTACACCTACCCACTTATTCTTAAGTCTTTATATCTTGTTTAATCATAAGGAAAGCAAGGCTAAAATACACCCACAGAAAGCTCCCAGAGACTGATCATGTGTGTGTGTGCACGTGTTTTTGTGTAAGAGAGAGAGCAAGAGAGCACAAAAATCCACAGCTATTTTATACAAATAATTACACAGAAAATGCCACTGTGCTTTTGAAGAGTTTTCTGGAAATCTTGGGACAAATTTCCATCCCCTTGTGAAACAGAACAGGTTTGAATCACGATCTAATAGCAAATCTCTAGGCAAATTTAACTACGGAGTCACCACCAATGCCTGTATAATAAACCTCAACCCTCTACCGTGACACAAACTCTCTCAGTCACTTTAGGTAAGATATTTAGAGTCAAATTGTGGCCGCATTTCTCCATGAAAGGTCACAAAGGAAGCTTGTGTCAGAGTAGGAAACTGATTCTAAGTCTCCAGAGCTCCAAACTAGCACCCTAACCATTGGACCATCCTGGACCTCCCCATGATTAAAAAAAGAAAGTAAGGACACCTAAATGCTATTCCTAACTTAGCCACAGATTTCTGGTGTAAAGTCCCTAAAGTCTAAATTTTCAAAATTAGTTATCTGAAGTTAGGCATCCAAATTCATATTTCAGCATGTAAATAGGTAGACTGGGTTTCAGATATGCTATGCAACTGCAGCTTCCACTGCTAGTTCACCACTATCAAAATAATTTTCCATGCAAGGACATAGGTTGTATTTAAAAAATATGACAATAATGTAGCAGAGAAAGTTGTAGTTTTAACACATTCACTAGTTGAGGTGAACGAGTCACAGGAAATGGTTCACAACGACCAACTAACAGTTAATTTTACAACTTCTCATGTTTACACTGCGGGTATGTCTAGACTACATGATTTCATCGATGGAGCCATGTAGATTATTTTACTAGACATAGGAAAATGAAGGGGCGATTTAAATAATCGCCTCTTCATTTACATCAAAATGGCTGCTGCATTGTGCCGATCAGCTGTTTCGCAGCACAGCGCGGTAGTCTGGATGCTTCGCGGTTGACAAGGCAAGCCCTTGTCGACCGCCCCAGTAAACCTCATTCCACAAGGCATAATGGGGCGGTCGACAAGGGCTTCCCTTGTTGACCATGGAGCATCCAGATTACCGTGCTATGCTGCTAAACAGCTGATTGGCACAGCGTGGTGGCATTTTGATGTAAATGAAGTGGTGATTATTTAAATCGCTGCTTCATTTCCCTTTTTCGAGTACACTAATCTACATAGCTCTGCTACATGGCTCCGTCGACGGAGCCATGTAGTCTAGACATACCCTGCGATTTTAAAATGCTTTAGCAATCATGTGTCAGTTAATATACTTTAAAATCATTCTCTCTCTTTTTTTTTTTTTTTTTTTGGTGGGGATGATCCCAAACAAGTAACATTTAAAAGAGTAGGCCAACATTTAAACCGAAGCCCAATTATAGAACCAGCAAAATGTCGGGCTAGGGTTTGAAAACACAGGGTTAAATCCTTGCCCCATTGAAATCCTTGGGAGCTGGCCATTGACTTCAAAAGAGTCAATATTTCTCTTACTGTCCTTAGCCTTGCCACACCTCATTGGTGATTATTTCATGATAATGATCCTTGCTCTCTTTTCTAAAGCATTGCTCATGAAAAGTGCTATCTTAAGTTGTAAAAAATCTTTATTTTTATTTATGTAACAAATTCCCATGATGACATAAAGAGACTTGGCCGTCACAGTTCAATGTCTATTCTAAATTGGAGTTTGGGACTAGCACACACACACACAGTACTTAATGACTACCCCCCCCCCCACACACACACACCTAGTCCAGCATTTTTCTAATAAAAAAATTCTTAGACTGAATGAAAGGGATCTATTGAGCTAGCAACACAAGGACTCAATTGTTTCCCTTTATCCCTTTAAAAGTGTTTTGGTGAAACAAAAGAATATACCACACACGCCCACACGCACACACACACACACATGGCCATGTGAGTGATATTTCGTATAAACCATGTGGCAAGACCCTGAAGGAGTGGGGCAAAGAGGGGAATTGCTCTGAGGCCTGAAGATTCTAAAGAGCCCAGGGCTCTGGCTGTTGCTTTTGCTACTGCGGTAGCAGCAGCTGCTGGAGCTGCCCACAGGCCTGTTAGAATCCCTATGGGAGCGCTGCTCCAGCCCCGCCTCTTCCTCCCGAGACTCTGCCCCTTCCAGGTGCATGGAGCTGTCCCCCGCAGCCACATTGCCCATGGGCTTAGCAATTTTGAAGGCTCCCCTGCACATCAGACTGGAAATTTTGCAACAGCATCAGCGAATACAGGGATTTTTTTTAATTTAAGCATTTGTTTTATTTTTGGGAAATGAATAAAGCAGACTGTAGAGTATTCCTGTTATTATTTAATTTAAATTAAATATTAAATTCAATTTGTAGTATGCGGCACATACATTTTTAAATAGTCAGCTGTTTTCAGTTTTTGTATTGAAAAGATGCAGCCGTTTACAAGGGGAGGGAGGAGAACTGAAGGGCCTTGTTATTGCATAGGGCACAACTGGGGTTTTTGGCAGTGGGGAAGGAGTATGAGGCAGGCTGGGTTTGTGTAATGAGTGCAAAAAGGAGGCTCAGTGTGTGTAACAAGCACAAAGCATAACCTCACAGTCTAATAAAGTAATTTTCCATGTCAACCCTTTCACCGCTGATTGCAAGTTCATTATGCCACTGAGCCTACCAGGGCAGTTTACACCCTGAAGAGCAGTTTCAGACTAACTGTACACTTCACTGTAGCAGTTTACATTCAGGCCCGGTACTGCACTTAGATCATGCCTGTACTATGAGTGAGGGATATGACTCTCTGGCTTCTGTTCACATTATTTGTGCAGACAATCCCTGTGCTTCCTGTTCTAATAAGCTAACACTGATCTTCATGCTGAGAACAAGAGTAAAAGAAAAATCCTATAAAGAATGTAGATAGCATTAATGGAAATCCCCGGTCTCATAATACAAGAACAAGATGACTAATGAAAATTTAAAAAAACAAATTCGAACAGATCCAAGAGAATATTTTTTTCCTTACAACTCACAATTAACTTGTGGAACTAATGGGTATTTTTCTCCACTCTAGCTCATTTCATCTGAGGAAGTGGGTTGTGCCTCTGAAAGCTCATGATTCATTCTCTCTCTCTCTCTCTCTCTCTCTCTCTATATATATATATATTTGTTAGTCTTTAAGGTGCTGTTTTTAAAGTTACAGACTAACACAGCTACCCCTCTGAGTCATTGACACGAGACATCACTGAAGTTAAGTTTAGATGGATTTGTCAAACAAATTAGACATTTATATAGGTAACAATAATTAGTTATAATAGTAAATATTACTAGCAGTTTTGGAAGACATAGATATCCTCCTGCTTCAGGGATCAAGTTATGATTTCAGTTTATGTTCATTACTGTGTACATAATGTTGTTACATATATTTGATCATTATATTATTGACTGGCAATTTATTACTTTTCAAATTATTCCTTACAAGGCATATTTTGTATAAATATTATTATTGTGCGAATACAGGGGTGCATTCCATCATACACGGAAACATAGGAATGGCCACAGATGATTGGTCCAGCTAGTGCAGTTTTCTATCACCAACAATTCTTGGTACCAACTGCTTTAGAGAAATGTGGGAGAAGCTTCGTAGTAGGTAACTATGGATAACTCCCAAGGAAACCTCCTCCTAAACCTCAGTCTGGGTGTGTCTAGACTACAGGGTTTTGTCGACAAAAGTGGACTTTTGTCAACAAAACTATACCTGAGTCCACACTACCGCTGAGTTCTGTCAACATAACGTCAACAGTTTTGTCGATGGTGGTAAACCTCATTCTACGAGGAATAATGCCTTTTGTCAACAGAAGGCATTATTGCATCTACACTGTCATTTGTGTCTACACTCTGGGTATGTCTAAACTACATGGCTCCGTCGACGGAGCCATGTAGTTTAGACATACCCAGAGTGTAGACACAAATGACAGTGTAGATGCAATAATGCCTTCTGTTGACAAAAGGCATTATTCCTCGTAGAATGAGGTTTACCACCATCGACAAAACTGTTGACGTTATGTTGACAGAACTCAGCGGTAGTGTGGACTCAGGTATAGTTTTGTTGACAAAAGTCCACTTTTGTCGACAAAACCCTGTAGTCTAGACACACCCAGACTGAGGTTTAGGAGGAGGTTTCCTTGGGAGTTATCCATAGTTACCTACTACGAAGCTTCTCCCACATTTCTCTAAAGCAGTTGGTACCAAGAATTGTTGGTGATAGAAAACTGCACTAGCTGGACCAATCATCTGTGGCCATTCCTATGTTTCCGTGTATGATGGAATGCACCCCTGTATTCGCACAATAATAATATTTATACAAAATATGCCTTGTAAGGAATAATTTGAAAAGTAATAAATTGCCAGTCAATAATATAATGATCAAATATATGTAACAACATTATGTACACAGTAATGAACATAAACTGAAATCATAACTGAAGTGTGTTTACCAGACAGGTCTGGCAAGTGTCTTTGTTTCTCAAAGACAAAGGACAAATTGAAACCCAGCCAAGGTATTATCAAAGCTGATGGGACAGAGCCTATCAAGTGGCCATTCTTTGGTAAGCAGAGAGGACAGGAACATAAGTCTTCATCTTAGCAAAGAGCAGCAAAAAACCTTCGCCCTACCATCAGTGTTCTCTCTCATTTTTTCCACCCCTCAATGGAATGATTTTTTCTTACTGTGAAGGTGATGTGCAACATGTCACCTTCATATTGGTGCACATGACAAAATTCATGTGGTGGGAGTGGGGCCAAGAGGTTCTAAGTGTGGGAGGGGAATCAGGTTTGGGGCAGACGGTTGGCGTGCAGGAATATGAGGGCTCCAGCTGAGGATGCAGGCTCTAGGATGAGGGTGGGTTTGAGGGACTCAGGGCTGGGACTTTTACCTTACCATTGGAAAAGTTGCAGCTGCCAGAATTTTGTGTCTGAAGCTGATTCCAAGTCAGGAATTCTTATGGTTTTTATTTTAAGTTTTAAAATTAGTATTGTTAATTAAGTAAAAGGGTGTGATGATTGTTTTGTTTAAATTGTAATTTGATGTTCCTGCTTAAATATTCATATTGTGTCTGTGCAACAATGAGATCAATTCTGTTTTGTGTGTGTGAATGAGGAACGTGTGTTAGAAGCTAAATGTGAAGGCCATCAACAGACCAGATGTTTCAAAGAAAAGATGAGGTTAGATGTAAAAGCGGCAGGAGATGCTGTGTACCTCTATTGAGATGTGGATGAAGGGCAGATTGATGACTCTAAAAGATAAGGCGAGCACCTATCGGTTGGGACAAGATAGCTGGACATGAGAAGAACAACTTAAGAAAACAAGCACTCATCAAATGGCGATTGATTACAGCATGACAGTGCAAAATGTGCTGATCCCAGTAAAGGAAAACTGCTATAAAAAGGAGCTGCTTCCCCATAATTTTTGGGTACATCCTGCCAACATAGGAGCACTGGTCCAGAGCGATAGAGCTCTGCTCCTATCAGCGATCAATCTGGATGGCCACTGGAAAGACATGGACTGTGAACTGGTAAATATAACATCAATTGGTGGGACTGTATGTGTGTGTGTCTATATAAGCATATGTTAACTGCTTTACTATTGTATTCTTAATAAACATGGCATATTGCATTTTCCCCTATAAAGATCCTGTGTTCTTCTTACAAGCATAACAGAGGTGGTTCCAAGTTTGGTGAAGGGCTCAGAGTGGGGCAGGAGGTTGGGATTTGGGATTATCCAGATGGTTCCATGATGGGGATGGCAACGAGGCGCTCCTTTCCCCTGGCCATGGCAGCTCAGTGCTGGGGTTGGCAAGAAGGGGCTTTCCTCCATTGGCCACTGCAGCTTCAGGGCTGGGAGAGAGATCTGGGCACCTGCATGGGGCTTAATGGGAATCTGCGTGGCTGCATAGTTTAGGGGAAACTTAGCCTACTAGACTCCATGGCTCTTTGCTCTCAGCTGGAAAGAAGTTAACCTAGAGGTCACTCTCAGGAAGATGCATGTCAAAGGGTGACTGAACTATAAAAGTGGGGGAAAAGCACCCCAAGTTCTTGTTCCCTTTCCAGCTCTCTTTGCCACCTAAGATGACAAAAGAAACCTAGCCTATGGGCTTTGGGTCCTAGCCTATGAGGTTAGTCAGCAGTGTCCTAAAAACGTGCAAGAACTTTGCCTTGGACCAAGTCTAGTGTTTTTAATTCTAGACAGCATTTTAGTTTTGTTTTTCTTGTAACTGTTTCTGACTGCAATGCCTCATCCATTGCACTCACTAATATTTTATTTTTTATTGTAAAATAAACTTATTTTATTCTTTAATGAAATCTAATCCAGTGTTGTGAATTGTTTGGGTAACTTCATTTAGGGTAGCAAATTGTTCTGTATTGATCCCCTTCAAGGGGCCACAGGCCTAATATATCTGGATTGTCCATATTTTGGGGGGAAATTCAGGACTGGGAGTATGTAGAGGGTCACCCTGCAAATAGCAACCAAGGCTGGTGGAAGCCAGTGTGTGATTGGTATTTGCTGAGAGGCTGCTGGCTTCAAAGCAGATGGTCCAGGGCTATGGGAATACAGACACTTTGGGTGTAGCCTACATGCTGGTAGGCTAATTGTGAGTAATCCAGGATGGAAGCTACAGCAGCATTGTGAGACATCCAAGGTTGCAGGGCAGGGGTGATACAACACCACGTGGGTCCGGATTGTATTTGGGAATGTCAGACTATGTTCCTTCTATAGGCAGCTGGTTAGCCTACTTTTTACAGGTTTAGGCGCTTAGCTGCCATTTTAGCCCCGTTGCTCTCCTGTTTGCTGCAAACAGTCAACAGAGTCAGAAGTGATAGAATACACTTTGGGTTACCTCACTGGACTTCATGACTCCAAAGAGTGGGTAGAGGAAAGCAGGAACTAGGGCTGCAGCTCCGAGTGGTACCGCTTCTGAGACCCAGTACACAGCTGTCACGATCAGCACATAAGCACATGAGCATTCCTGAGGGGAGAAATCACTGAGGTTAGCCATCACTCAAACCACCTCTGCTGTATCAGCCTTTGCAAATATGTCCAGAGAATGGGCCCAGCCCACAGGTGATTAGATCACAATGTTGTCTATGGGGACTGCATTAAGGGGACTTCCCAAATGGCCAGCTGGCTGGGACTAAATTGAGTGCTACCCTTAGGGGATTAGAGAAATTCCAAAAGACAGCAGGATGCTCATAAGAGTTTAAGAACGATAGCAATGGCAACGGATGAGGAAAACACCTGGGATGAAAAAGAAGCACATATTGAAGAGGTTACACAGTTTCTTAAATCACTTCAATTTTAAATATATAATTTTGATCATTTGCTTTTACTGAATGGTCACTTCGCATTGCTACCAATTAAACAACTCCCTCCATCTCCAGACTGTATTCCCAGTTCTCAAATGCATGTGCCATGATCTGTAAATATTAAAATGAATCTTTGATTTCTTCCACTCTAATCAGGTCTAGTCTGGGCACACAAATTAGTGTTTTCTGCCAGTCGTGACAGATTGTAACTATGATGAACTCTGTACAGGGCTTTGAGAAAACATCTCTGTTTCTTAATTCAGCCAGATCCCAGACTGTGGAATAGTGAAATCTTAGGATCGAGAGTTTAGCATTTGAACAAGTGTTATACTAAGGTTAAGAAAAAAATAAAATATATATGGGTATGTCTACACTACAAAGTTAATTCGAACTAACGTCCGTTAGTTCGAATTAACTTTGATAGGCGCAACACTAGCGCTCCACTAGTTCGAACTTAATTCGAACTAGTAAGCTCGAACTAGGCTTAGTCCTCGTAGAATGAGGTTTACCTAGTTCGAACTAAGCGCTCCGCTAGTTCGAATTAAGGGGTGTGTAGCCCCTTAATTCGAACTAGTAAGCTCGAACTAGGCTTAGTCCTCGTAGAATGAGGTTTACCTAGTTCGAACTAAGCGCTCCGCTAGTTCGAATTAAGGGGTGTGTAGCCCCTTAATTCGAACTAGTAAGCTCGAACTAGGCTTAGTCCTCGTAGAATGAGGTTTACCTAGTTCGAACTAAGCGCTCCGCTAGTTCGAATTAAGGGGTGTGTAGCCCCTTAATTCGAACTAGTAAGCTCGAACTAGGCTTAGTCCTCGTAGAATGAGGTTTACCTAGTTCGAACTAAGCGCTCCGCTAGTTCGAATTAAGGGGTGTGTAGCCCCTTAATTCGAACTAGTAAGCTCGAACTAGGCTTAGTCCTCGTAGAATGAGGTTTACCTAGTTCGAACTAAGCGCTCCGCTAGTTCGAATTAAGGGGTGTGTAGCCCCTTAATTCGAACTAGTAAGCTCGAACTAGGCTTAGTCCTCGTAGAATGAGGTTTACCTAGTTCGAACTAAGCGCTCCGCTAGTTCGAATTAAGGGGTGTGTAGCCCCTTAATTCGAACTAGTAAGCTCGAACTAGGCTTAGTCCTCGTAGAATGAGGTTTACCTAGTTCGAACTAAGCGCTCCGCTAGTTCGAATTAAGGGGTGTGTAGCCCCTTAATTCGAACTAGTAAGCTCGAACTAGGCTTAGTCCTCGTAGAATGAGGTTTACCTAGTTCGAACTAAGCGCTCCGCTAGTTCGAATTAAGGGGTGTGTAGCCCCTTAATTCGAACTAGTAAGCTCGAACTAGGCTTAGTCCTCGTAGAATGAGGTTTACCTAGTTCGAACTAAGCGCTCCGCTAGTTCGAATTAAGGGGTGTGTAGCCCCTTAATTCGAACTAGTAAGCTCGAACTAGGCTTAGTCCTCGTAGAATGAGGTTTACCTAGTTCGAACTAAGCGCTCCGCTAGTTCGAATTAAGGGGTGTGTAGCCCCTTAATTCGAACTAGTAAGCTCGAACTAGGCTTAGTCCTCGTAGAATGAGGTTTACCTAGTTCGAACTAAGCGCTCCGCTAGTTCGAATTAAGGGGTGTGTAGCCCCTTAATTCGAACTAGTAAGCTCGAACTAGGCTTAGTCCTCGTAGAATGAGGTTTACCTAGTTCGAACTAAGCGCTCCGCTAGTTCGAATTAAGGGGTGTGTAGCCCCTTAATTCGAACTAGTAAGCTCGAACTAGGCTTAGTCCTCGTAGAATGAGGTTTACCTAGTTCGAACTAAGCGCTCCGCTAGTTCGAATTAAGGGGTGTGTAGCCCCTTAATTCGAACTAGTAAGCTCGAACTAGGCTTAGTCCTCGTAGAATGAGGTTTACCTAGTTCGAACTAAGCGCTCCGCTAGTTCGAATTAAGGGGTGTGTAGCCCCTTAATTCGAACTAGTAAGCTCGAACTAGGCTTAGTCCTCGTAGAATGAGGTTTACCTAGTTCGAACTAAGCGCTCCGCTAGTTCGAATTAAGTTCGAACTAGTGGAGCGCTAGTGTTGCGCCTATCAAAGTTAATTCGAACTAACGTCCGTTAGTTCGAATTAACTAATTTGAACTAAGTTAGTTCGAATTAGTGCTGTCGTGTAGACATACCCAGAGTGTGTTATGCAATCATAGCAGTACTCCTGTGACCCAGACTTTCCAATGAAATTATAAAGCTATAGCAGAGCAATCTGGATCTGTATTTGTCTAATGGCATCTTGGGTACTATTATTCAACTAAATTGTTGGTTTTACTATTTATATTTCAGTTACTTTAATATTCTTTGTTATCTTAATTGTGAATGTCTAATGCCACGTTTCAGAAATAAGGGTTAAAACCAGGTCAATGATAGCCAATTTAAACCTAAGCAACTGAAGAAGATCTGGCAGAAGATTTTAAATAAATAGAAGCAATGACAGATAATAATCTGTGTAAACATTTTCTTTGGGCTGTGTTCTGGATGGTATGATATGCTGAACTACAGAAAAAAAACACTTGAGAATGGATCATAAGTAGAGTACAGGGAGTACTGACAACAGATATTCACATTAATTAGAATAAAAACTGCTAGTCCGTTTAAAGGGTATTCGAGTCTCCTTTTATTTGTTTTCCGTTACCTTTTTCACCAAAGGATTTATTGTGTACAAAAATTATTGTAGAAAAGAAAGTGTTAGAAATGCTCATCAATTAACACAATAATTCATGCTGGAAGAGTTTATGCAACTTCTGAAAACTCTTTGTTGTTTTGGGAGTCATCGAATCCAGGAACAGTAACAACGCAATAAAATGTAAGTGACAAATCACACAGGAAATTATGAGTCGTGAACACTACAAGCAATAGTCCGTGATTATTATATAAGAAATACAAAGAGTGAAATATTTTCATACAAACTTTCCAATGAATAATTTTTAATAATGAACATGGCAAGATTCATAGCTGATGCAAATGATCAGAGCACCTTTAATTTCCATAGAGCTATCAGTTTAGACCAGCTAAGGATCTGGCTCCCAATTTGTGAAAATTGACATCTGTTTGAAAATAATTCATGAACAGAGAAAGGGGCTAAATTTGTTCAGCTGTGGGCAGGAAATATTCCCAGAACTTCAAGCATAACTCACTGAGACTAAGGTAAGCTCTGCTGAATGTCACAGAGAGTAAAGACAGAGACATCTATTCATAGGCGACAAGTTATATGGGCCTTTGGTGTCTGTGCTCCACCAATATTCAGAGCACAGAGATCTGGCTCTACCAATGTTTGGGAATCTCCCCTGGTCCCACCCACCATCCCACCCACCTCCCCCGGACCATCTCTGTGCCCTGGGTAGGGGCTGGCTGCCAACCCCTCCTTCCCCATTCTCCTCCTTTAGCAGGGACCATAAGTCCCTCCACCTAGAGAAGCCCTGAACGACTCCCTCCCCTGCTCCTCCTGCTGTTCAGAAGAGCCCCAGGGCAGATGTAACCTTGCTGACCCAGCATTTTCTGGGTAAAAGCTACAGCATCTCTTGATTCAAAGGCCAGGTCTACGCTAAGGGGCAAAGTTTAACTAAGGTACACAACTCCAGCCATGTGAATAGCATAGCTGGGGTTGACATATTTTAGTTTGTCTTATCATGGCCTCCCCACTGTGAGAGGTCGATGGGAGAAACTCTTCTATCAATGCCCCTTACTCCTCATGAGCCAGTGGAGTACCAGAGTTGATGGAGGCACCATCAGCAGTCAATTTAGTGCATCCTTTCTAGACCTGCTAAATTGACCCCCTGGGAGGTCGACTTCTGCAGCATCAATCTCTCGGTAAGCGTAGACAAAGCCAAAGATACTTCTGATATGCCCCTACTCTGTGCAGCATCTACTCTGCCGCCTCAGCCATCTTTGCACCTGCATGGGGCACATCAAAAGCATCTTAGAATCAAGAAACGCTTTTCCCCAGAGCAGGCAGAGCTACTATGACAGTGGCTAGGGCCCCGGTCCCTTTTAAATCACCTGGGCCCCTGGGTAATTGCCCCCCTTTACTCCTCAGTCTGTGGGCCTGGCTGCTGAGGAGGCTGCTGCATGGGGGGGCCCTCCGTCAGAGCTCATTGCTGCCTGTGGTCCCAGCCCTGAGGCAGCCTGCCTGCACCCCAAACTCCTCATCTCTGGCCCCATCTCAGACCCCCACACACCGACCCTCTGCTCCAGCCCTAAGCACACTACTGCTCCCTGAACCCCTCATCCCCTCTCCAACCTTCCTCACCTCTGCACCCCAGCCCTGAGGCCCCTTCCCCATCCATCAGCCCATCCCCCAAACCTGCACTCCCAGCCAGATCTCTCACTCTTCAACCCTCTGCTACACCCCGGACTCCTCCTGTACCATGAACCCCTCATCCCTGACTTCATCCCAGAGTCCATACCCCCAGCTAGAGCCCCCACCCCTATTCCCATCCCCTGCCCAACTCCTGAGTAGCCTCCTTCACCATGAACCCCTCATTCTTGGGCCCACCCCACAGCCCCCATCCTTTCATCAATTTACAAGGGAAGTGTGGGTGTAGGGTGCAGGACTTGGACCCATTCTGGGCACAACCAAAAATTATATAACCCTGCTACCCATGCATCTGTTTGAACAATAAGATGGAAGGCTGTGGTAAAT